CTTGAACGTATTGTAATATAAGCTTTCATGGGCACAAAGTCTGAAATACTGTTTACAGATCCATAAAGTCATTGTAGTTTAACCTAACACAAATGACTTTCCAGAGCAAATTCCAAATATCTGGCCAATGAGTTAGAATTAAGCTGCAAATCTTAAGACTGCTACAAGAGAGTCTGAATCTAGCATACAACAAAAAATAATTGTCACTTCTTAAGGATATATATGGATGAGATAGAACATGGAGGCTGAGGCTTCCTCCCTGTGTTTGGGGGGGTCAGGGAATTTGGGATGTTTGCTTTTAGGTTTATGCTACATTTTTAGGTCCAACTCATAATTATGGGATACCTTGCAATCCATTTTCAGTGATCACTGACTGTGGAAATTCTGCAGGACAGTCAAAGGCCATATGTGGTCCTGGTGTATGTATGCAGATTTCTTAATGCTAAGAAAACCACATCTCTTCCTTGTCATGTTCAATAAACAAGGAACACAGGTGAAAACAGTTGTGCTGGATCAGACCAAGCACTCATCTATTTCTGTTTGTGTCAAAGGGTGGCCCCATAGCTGCATTCAGAGAATTCCTAAGCATGGATAAGAAAAGGCTATTCCTCTTTCCCGATCACTTCCCAGCAATTGGTATTTAAGATACCCTGCCTCTGATTCAGGAAATAGTAATGAATTATCAGGACCAGCAGTCACTGATAGCTCTATGCTCCATGAATTTCCCCAGACCTCCTTTAAAACCATCTAAGAATATATTGAGAGAATAACTGGCCCAAGGTCACCCAACTGGCTTTGTGTCTAAAGCAGGACTAGAACTCAGTCTCTTGGTTTCTAGCCTGATGCCTTAACCACTACACCAAACTGGCTTTCAAAATTTAGTGGCTTTATAGGCTATTTGTGTGTGTACGCCTTTGAGTCAGTGTTGACACCTGGCAACTGCCTGGACTAGTCCCTGCAGTTTTCTTGGCAAGATTTCAGAAGTGGTTTGCTATTGCCTCCTTCCTAGGGCTGAGAGAGTGACTGGCCCAAAGTCACCCAGCTGGCTTTGTGCCTATGGCAAGACTAGAACTCATGGTCTTCCAGTTTCTAGCCTGGTGCCTTAAGCACTACACCAAACTGGCTCTCTTCCAAGTATGTTACAGCACATATTACACAGTATTACAGTGTCTTAAATGTGTAAGCGAGTTTTGAACAGCCTTGGCCCACAATGTAAATGCTTCCACTGCTGGTTTAGGGTTAAAAGCTGAGGGTCTCCTTATTTCAAGAATTTATTCCCCGCTTTTACAAGGAGCAGCTTTTCTGTCTGCTGAAACAAAGGTTGCTGAAACAAAGCAAGGTGTCAGTTTAGTCCTTTAGTTTCTTTTCACTTTCAAAAACAGAGCTATCTCTGATAGCTGTACACTGAAAGCTGAAATACAAGAGGCTGTCTAGGTTACCTTGCAGTAACTATTTTCACAAGTGTGATAATTGTGCCATCTGGTGGTGTAAAGTAAGAAAAACTGATGTGATCAGTATGGAGCAGTGATGGTGAACCTGACACGTGGGTTGAAGGTGACACACAAGGACGCTTTGGGTGACAAGCCAGTGTTCACCAACACCCAACAACTATTCTCCGTTTGAGTTACCAAAGAATCCAAGCTTGTTTTACTCATATTTCATATTTGTTAATTATTTGATGTTTCTTTATATAATACATATAATACCACATATGATTGGACTGTATTTTTTAAAATAAATATGTAAAGAATTTTTTCTCTTTTGTTTGGGGTGGGGGTGTGTGACACACCAGCAGACTCAAGTTAAGCATTTTCTGAATTTTTGACATGCCAAGCCCAAAAGGTTTGCCATCGCTGGTATACCTATTAGGATTGCAATTGAGGCAAAGCTTTAGGTTAGACAGCATTACGTTTTGTAATTTGTGCTTTCATCAGAATATCAGTTGTTTTTTTTTTTGCTGCTTTTCAATATATGAGCCAATCTACAGTAACTGACGTAAAGGGCTCAAGGATCAGTATTTCCAGCAAATCCTGATTTTTAATGATTAGCTAACACAAGTAGGAACCTTTCCATTTATGATCCCCTGGGTTGAAAGCAATTGTTAATCAGAAAGCACAATACAAACTTTATCATACTTATAGCACACCCACTGATTTAAGAGGACTGAGTTGAGATCCAACCCAAAGTCTTTGTTTTCCTAAACACAGCCACCTATAAAGTGATGGTGCCAATGATGGATGGAGGATATTTCTAAACACAGGGTTGTGTGTAACCATGTCATTTATATTCATAACTGTGTTCCTCTCTTTGCATTTGTATCTATGTGGTAGAAAAAAATTATATCTTTCCCTATCCCAATTCAGATTAACAATCCTTTATCCACTGATACAGAACTTCTCCCTTTGTGATACTTCTAGACAGCAGAGTATTTTTGAGTGATAGATGAACTGAACTGATGTGTGCTCATCTTCTGACCACTGTTAGTCCAAAACTTTGATTTCTTCCCTTATTTGTTTATCTAGTCTGCAGGAATGTGACAAAAACCATGCCTGGGAAAAAAAAAAGGAATAAAATTGTAAAGCATGCAATGCTTTTCAGATGTCCTCAGAAATAAACAACTGAGTTCATTGTACTTATTCCTCATGGTGTACCCCCATTAAAAACAGTAGGATTTATGTTCAAGTAAACACACATCAAATCATACTATTCATGTGAGAGTCTCCTGTCCCAGCACCCACTTTGTCATCATAGGTTTATCACTGTGAACCCGACTCCATGTCTCAACCCTTTCATTATTCATTAACCAAGTGTTCAATTTAGTTTGTTTCTCATGAGAAAAGGTCTTCCCTCTCTAATTGCCTTGATGATAACAGAATGCACATCTATCTATGACAAAACCTGGTTAAGGCTGCAGTCATAAACTCATTTATTTGAAGCAAATTGTATTGCATTTATGGGATTGATTTTTGAATCAACACCATCTAGCATGTAGGATATGTCTCATTACAAAGATTTCAGTGGGGCTAATTGGCAGCAATGTTGATAGCAATTTGAATTTAATGTGCATACTAACCTCCTTTAAAATGAGCTAAAAGAATCCCAAACTACACAGTTTTTTGGTTTTATTTCAAATTCCATTAAAAAATTCCAGCATATCCAGCCCATTCCTCAACTACAAAACTAGTGCTTAAACAGCAAAGTCAAGTTATATAAAATGAAAGCTAAGAACCCTGAAATCAGTTGCTACATTTTGAAATCAAGCAGGTTGCATTCCCATACCAGATGAGAAAAATATGAAAATAACCGTAAGTCCACTGTGGACTAACTGAAGTGGCTTAAATTCACTATAACACGGGATCATATATAACAGCCACAGACAAAACTATGGATTTAGAAAGAAGAAAACTTAAAATCAGCCAATATCTGATCCCCTTTACATGAATGCATTCAAAACTATGGATTTAGAAAGAAGAAAACTTAAAATCAGCCAATATCTGATCCCCTTTACATGAATGCATTCAAAACTATGGATTTAGAAAGAAGAAAACTTAAAATCAGCCAATATCTGATCCCCTTTACATGAATGCATTCAAAACTATGGATTTAGAAAGAAGAAAACTTAAAATCAGCCAATATCTGATCCCCTTTACACGAATGCATTATTCATCCCAAACCGTAAACATGTGTATTTATACTTCCTCTCATATTATCATTTCAATTATCAAACATATTATGTACAG